AGCTGACTTAACTTTTTTTTGGTGTGCTGAAAACGAAAATAAAACTACAAACGTTGATTAGCTCTAGTTTTTAAGATCTTTGCTGTTAATTTATTTAACTAGGTCAATTTGTATAGATGACGCACGTGCTGTAGGCTATCGCATTATGTTTTCTAAAGATTGTAAATATTTAACTAAAAGTGTTTGATTTAGTCTTACCTATGATTATATCTTACCTATATATTATAAAGTTATGTTGAAGTCTTATCTCTGATTATGTTGTAAAATTAGCTACTGCATGTGCCCTGATTAAATGTATTATAGTTTGAAAATGCCTAGGACATGTGTGAGTAGTGCTAATAATTCGTTATAAATGTAGAGAGGTGACATTTATATCACAGAAACTAAATGTAACAAAAATTATTAAGATAGGCCGTTTGTAATTTGGCCGCAGAATAAGAGATCAAGATAAGAGCTGGACGCGGCACAGATACAGCAAGTGCAGCAAGTCTTAAATTATAGTTGACTGGCACCAATAGATTTGAGAGAACCCACTGATAATTTAAACTGTTGTGTTTGCAATGTCCCTCTGATTAGGACAGCATATGGAGCAAGGAAAAAAAAAAAACAACAACCCTGGTATATGCAAACATCCCCTATGCAATACGCCTGGTACCAAATGGTATTGACCTACCAGCTCCCCAAGTGACAAAATCATTTTCAACTGCTTCCACTGATGATATACTGAGCAAAATACACCAGACAAACCACACTCAATAGCACACAGGGAAGTGAATGATCGTGTAAGAGACTTGAATTTGCCACGATGTTTAGGGGTTTTATATTGAAAAAGTTGAATCGTTTGACAGGTGTTAGAGATTCTATATATAGGAGACACCGGTTGTTGTTGTTAAGGTTAAAAAGCGATCACCAGTTCTAGTTTAATAAAACAAAGTTTAAAAAAAAAAAAAAAAAAAGGAAAGGTCCATTTTTCCACGCCATTAGGCGTATTAAGAATATAGGGCTTGACCTATATTTTAAAGACCAATCGGCACTTGAGTGGGTGATGTTGTCAGCACTACGCCGGCTGCCTTTACTTCCCCGATCTAGTTTCATGGCAGTCTTTACAATCAGTTATAAACATGTAGAAATGAATTTTAATCGAGTCATCTAAGACAAGATTAAATGCTGTTTGGTTGCATAATGGTAATGTGTTCGTCACGCAGTTCTATGGAACAAAAATTTAAAAACCATTAAGCAATTTTGGAAGTATGTAAACTTTAATCATCGCTATTGAATATTTTGCGGTGACGTAACAGGGTCGCCCTTTTGCTTGGACAACAGGGAAAATACGCCAAGTACTGATACTTTCTTTTTTAGTGTGATAGCCGTCTACGAATTGATCACTGAATTAGAAGACGTTAGCGTGTGAAGCAATCATTGCAGCCTAATGGCGGGAACGTTGAGAATCGAGCTTGTGTTGACACCGGCAAAATTGCATTATCTTTGCACAATAAACTAAGTTTTATGAGAAACTTTGTCAAAGCCATGGAAAAAACAGACGAGGTTTTCTTTGGTCTCATCAGAAAATGTCCAAGACAAAGAAAACGAAACGAAAAAAGAGAGAGTATTTGTTGGTCCGTAAATTCGAAAACATTCTTCTTGACAAGTTTATTTGTGTTGCATGGCAAGGACAAAGTAGCAAGACTATCACTAGAGCCAGCGGTGGACAATTTCCCTAGAAATACATCTGTTAATTACAGTGACTTTCGGAAGTTTTAATTGATTCCAGTGTTGAGCTCCTTGCATTCTACAGTGTAGTCGATGCATGTTGCAATAATCTGATCTTTAAAAGTTGAGGAAAATATTTTATTCCAGATGACTGTTTGAATAATGGTTACATATTTTTTTTATATTGTTATGTTTTCCTATGCTTAATTGGATTTCTGAGCATCAATATTGAAGTCTTCGTAAAAGAATGATTTATCTACACCCTGGTATTCATTGCATCCAACACTGTATTTAAGTTTGTAGACTATTTAATTTCACCATATTTGTTTCGATAAAATAAGCCTTGTAGGGGTCTATAGTCTGCTAATTTCATTTCTAGCCATAAAAATGGTATCTCACCTTCTCTAAGTCTTGCCCTCGTTGAATGTTCTGTGAATTACAGATGTAGACTGTTGCACTCGCAGCATGTGTCATAATCGGGTCTCTCCTAAGAAATGTAAACCCTTAGAAAACATGACTTCGCCGAACATTGTATTACTGAATTGATATGATTAACCCTCCCCCTCCCCCCCCCCCCCCCCCCCCCACAACCAGTGCATACTGATTACTCTTTGAAAATGACTAGAGACATTTCTCGATTGACTAAAAAACAAAAACCAACAAAGAGAGCTCGAACAACGACTGAATATGACGGAATGGGTTGACATGCGCTGTTTTTAACAAACATAATCTTTAAATAATGCATTTGCGTTTCTATTATTTTATCTTTAAATATAAAATAATTGAGTATGCAAAAAGAATAATTGTTCACCCCAGACAATTAAACACGCATATATACTTTCTATTTCTGTAATGTAAAATCATCAAAAAAAAAAAAAAAAACCCTAAAGCCAATTGGTGAATTTCATTATTATATTCAATCAGCGTGTTAAGATCAGTAAGAAATGGGGTATTTAAATGATGATAGGGTTGCTGCTCTGGGTTAGATTTTTATTCTCCGCTTACATGCTCAAGTCTGAAAAAATAATGGCATAGCCTTCACTGCATTTGTTAAAATTGGGACTGTTTGACATAAATCGCTTCCTCTGTCTAGGATTTGTTGGGAGTGCACCCAGCGGCTGCATCGTGTCTGGCAGGTGGACCAGGAAGACACCCATGAACTTACAATTACTGCTCGGCCTTTTTAGGTGGGCAGCATATAAATATAGTCTCCTATTTCTTACCAGAACTTCTACTGTTCAGGCACGAGCTGACTTAAAGAATGAAATTCCATTGCAAGTAAAAACTGGAGCTGGTGCAAAGAAAACAGGTTTTATTGAATAAAATGTTTGTAAATATCAAATTGCGAGAGACGACTGCTGGAAGCAGGGTGGTTTTCTGAGTTACCAAGTTAGTAAACGTTTTTCTCACTATAAGCGTACCTTTCCCCCCTTGGCACAAGCGAGTGTGCTTCAGTGCTAAATGTTTTTGTGTTTAAGTTATGTGAAAATCTAGTACACAAACGTTTCAATCGTCCATAACAAACTAAATATTCATATGTATTTAGTTAAAGTTGTTATAAGGTCTTAAAATAATGTTCACGAGAAAAAACTAGAAATGTTTGATTGAACTCTGATTGGCATTTCACAAAGACTTTTGTTTGTCTGAGTTAATTAAATGCCTGCTTGTATGCATACACTTTTCCTAGCCAGAGAATGTAATTTTAGTATAACTACTAGCTGTACAAGGCTACGCGTGGCTGTGGCTCAGTCTGGCAATATGAAAAAGAAATTGAACGCGCATGTGTCTATGAGCGTTAATTTCGCAATAAATATCTGCGCAGATATATAGAGATAGTTTGGTTTGCCGACTCTAGAACACGCGAAATATAAGTGTGTCTTTACATTAGTGGTGGTTAAAAGTTTATTATTCAGACTTTAAAAATGGTTTTTCGTTTATTACACGCTAAAGCGTTTTTTTTTTAAACAGCTGAAAGTAAAGCTACTGTACTTTTAAATTACCATAGGCTACATTAAAACAATTATTTTTTTTTAAAATTAAAAATAGCCGAGGAAGCGTTTTTTAAATTTAAACATTAAAAAATTAGAACTCTAAAATCACGTTTTAAGCTCTCTCAGTTAACAGTGTTTGTGATAGACCCCCCCCCCCCCCCCCCCCTAATCCACCAAATACCCCTTCGAAATGATTGGAAATTCATCACCTGATGATTTCTTTTTTTTTTTTTAAATATTAAAAAAAAAAAAATTGAACTTGACATCAGTGTACCCCAAATTAACATTGGTGGCATGAATTGTAATGAAGTATATGTGGCCTGTGTAATATGTACAACATAATTTATCATCTCAAACAGCTTCATGCAAATTTCTGAGGTCAACAGTCAAAAACCCATGCTGGGAACACGGCAACGAAAAAATCAATTGGATCATAGAAAAACAAAACCAGGGAGCCGATGTCATCCTCGTTTGAGCTGTGTAGTTCGGGCTTTGTTCTACACACTTGAAAAAAAAAAGATTCGCGTATTACAATGCAACGTTGTGTTAACATTTACAAGGAATCTGTGAAGAACTTTCGGCATACAGCATCATTCAGTTTCCTGAGGTCAATAGTCAAAGTTTACCTACTAGTGGAAATCAAAATTCCGCGAATATGGCAACGAGACTAAAACTAATGTGATCGTCGCTGGAACTATGTAGCTTATTTTTTGTGCGACTCTCTTATTAAAAAAAAAATCAAAAACACGTGCGTATATGAATGCAAGGTTGTGTCAAAATTTGAAAGCAATCAGTAATGAACTTTTGGAGATTAGCTATTACTAGCAGCGGAACACTTTCATTGGGGGAGGGGGCGTGGGGTGTATATTACAACGAGTTGAGCATAGATTCGAAGTTACAACATTCAGACATTTCAAATAGGCTGTTAGTCCTTTTTATCAGCAGCCATCATTATGTTCCAGTTGCGATACTGATGGTACCAGTAGCTGTCGGACTGTATGTCCGTCTCTGTCCTGTTTCTCAAGATCGACCATATATCCTGTTCACAACCGGCAGTATTGCCTGTAAACTCCAGGTTACCGAGATCTACACGTGAAATGTTGTGCTGGCGAAAATTCCACGTCACTGAGGATAGTGTCTCACAAAAACAGCGATAAACTTCGCTGATGGCGTGGTTCTGTTGGCTACACGAATCTATAGTGAGTGAAACATCTTTCTCTACCATCAAATCAAAATCTGAGGATGAAGATAGCTTTGTCGACCTCAGTTTCTGAGGACTTTAATTTTTCTATCTGGCCGTTAAATGTCAAAGTTTTTTGTCGAAGGTTGTCGAAGTTGTTTTGTATCTGTTTTAAAAGTTTCTCCTCCTCGTCCGTTAACAATTTTACGCATTTTATTTGCTGCATCTTTGATTTGTTTTTCGACACAGTCTTTTTTAATGCGTATCTCATTCATGTAGTCGGCTTTTGATTCGTCAGTCTCTAGGGCTTTCGATATCAAAAGTTGTATTTGTTTCAGGTATTCTCGCCAGGTATTTCGACGTTGTTGTGCTGCTCCTGTGACTGTGAGAATCTGGCGACATGCCCTATGAGAAATAACCGCACACAGATGACAGACGGTTGCAGAGCAGTCAAAGCAGTACAGTTCTTGTTCTTTGTCTTCGTGCTTCGGGCAAGGATTTCTGACTTTCGGAGCACAAACGTCTTGTCTTGATTCGTAGACCTCGACCATACTTTTCATGGTAAAATCTGTCTTGAACATGCCCACCCAGGCTGAAGGTGTGCTGGAGCTGTCTGGAGCCGGTATAAACTCTCTACAATCAGGACAAGAGAACCCAGGCTTGGAATCGGAAGTTCTCGCAGCTGAGGCGAAGATGTGGCCGTTAAGACAGCTCTCACAGAATCTGAATGAAAAAGAGAAAAACAATACTTAGAGAATGATATATTCAGAAAATTCATGAAGCAAATAGTGTAAGGTTACAAGTGAATTATGAAAAGACAAATATATTGAAAACAGTGACAGATCACGGGCATGTAACACTGAAAAACATAAGGAATTAAATAAAGCAACACATTAGGTGACCTTTTTATAAGACGGTAATTTTAAAAGTAAATAAAATACAAATTAAAGAAATTATGTCATGCATTGGCAAGAAATCAGCAGCGTTAAAAAGACTAAAGAGAGTATAGAACTTTAAACTAAATACTTGCAAAAACATTTACGTATTTTGCACTTTTAATGTTGTTTAAATGTTATCATATGCACGTGACAGCTGAGTATCACTGTCGTCATAGAGCGAAAGTTTGAAAACGAATGCTTGATGAAAACGTTGAACTAAAAATAGGATGCATTCAAGGGATGAAGAAATAAGAGAAATGTCCGGGTAACGACTTCTAACAGCAGATATAAGACACAGAAGATGAGGCTATATTGGACACATCCTGAGAAGAAACGAGCAGACAGTTACCAGATACACGCTAACATGGGAGATAACGTGACCAAAAAAGCGACGAAGTAAAAAAAGAAACATTTAAACGAACGTTGATGAGAGAGGCCAAGGGTGCTGGACTGGATTCCATCCTTGATATCGAACAGATTGCACAGGCTCCACAGGAGTGTATTAAAAGATTGCGAGCCCCATGTGATACATAATGGCACAAGACAATTAAAGAATGAGACATGTTATACATAACGACACAAGACAATGAAAGAATGATACATGTGATACATAACTGCAGAAGACCACGAAAGAATGATACATGTGATACATAACGACACAAGACCACGAAAGAATGATACATGTGACACATAACTACACAAGACAATGACAGAATGATACATGCCATACATAGCTGCACAAGACTATGAAAGAATGATACATGTGATACATAACTGCACAAGACTATGAAAGAAGGATACATGTGATACATCACAGCTCAAGACAATTAAAGAATGAAATGATACATGTGATACACAACGACACAAAACAATGAAAAAATGATACATATGATACATAACGGCACAAGTCAATGAAAGAATGATACATGTGATACATAACGGCACAAGTCAATGAAAGAATGATACATATGAAACATAACGGCACAGGTCAATGAAAGAATGATACATATGAAACATAACGGCACAGGACAATGAAAAAATGATACATATGAAACATAACGGCACAAGTCAATGAAAAAATGATACATATGATACATAACGGCACAAGTCAATGAAAGAATGAGGCTGACAGGAGAAAACATTATTTAAAGATCCATCGCACAGCTCAATGTGTACTGTCTATATGGTGCTAGCTCTTGTGTTTCATCGACAACTGGGTACTCAATGGTTGATGTCCTTTATTTCATGCCAGCTTACTCAAGTCTGCACAACGTGCTTGTCTTGCTGGTTGTCTGGGCTCGAGGACAGAAAGAGAGCTCGGCAGCACAGTTCCCATGCAGGCTGATATGGGAGTTTAAAAAAAAAAAAAAAGGGGGGGGGGGGGGTTATTACTTAAATCTAACTCTGATAGATTTAATCTCAATTTTAGGCTTGGTCTGTCTTGATGATAATGTGTCGTACTTAAACATCGCAACTTACATTTATTCAGTGTGATAAAAACAAACCAACCAGTCAGCTAGACAACCAGCCAGTCAATAGGCTAGTCGACCAGTCAACCAGCCAACCAACCAGATAGAAAATGAACCAACTGTCATACATTCATGTAGATTTACTACGGGTAATTTACAACAGTGAATAAACTAAACAAAACTAAGGAATAAGCTGCTGTATGGAAACAAAAATGATATGTGTGCTATACTGTGTTCATATTAGGTCTCGCCCGTTATTTCAAGATAACTCTCGAAACAGGGATTTGAATATTTACACAGATGACTAGCTCTTTGGTGAGAGGCAGAAGAAGTGTGTGGGTTTCATTGCCAACGAGATTAGACGACGCTTAGTGCAGCATAGTCTAGCGATTGATCTACAACATCAATTTCAGAATGGAGGTGGAGGCAGTCACAGCAGCTTTTCGCTGGCGTGTGGACTAGCTGCACACATAGGTCTGGTTTAACTAATTCACAAAGCATGTTTCGAGTGGTGGGGACAGGCATGTTAAGTAAGGTGTTAAAAATCGCTTTAGAGTTCACAGGTAGTAAAGGTTTGAGGTTGTAACAACGGATCAACATCACGGAATACTGGTAGTACCCATAAGTACTCCGTTCTTCTTCTAACTCAAGTCTTAGTCAAAATAAGTTCAGCATAGTGTACAGGCTCTGTAGCACCGACAAAGTTCCTGAAAAAATTTGGGTAGATTTTTACCTACAAATTTTGCCCGGGCAGCGCCGTTAGGCTACTCTTTTCGATTTCCAACTGCCAAAGGATTTTGTATGTGCACACGCGGACGTCCCATCTCATTACTCAGAGAGCGGGGGTGGGGGTAGGGGTGGGGGGAATTACTAGAAGTCCAAGTTCACTTGTAGTTAACATTCTTTACATATTTTCTTCCGGTATGCAGCTGTGTTGGGTATTAAAAAGGCATAGAGATTTGTTGGTGCTGCACCAAATGAGTGGTGACTAGATATGGTCAAGACCTTTTGGGTCGTGCGGAGGCACGAGTAGCTCATTATTGTTTGGAGAGAAGAGTACAGCTCTTAATGGCCAGGATTTCTGGTCTACCATCTGCACTCAGAGGGAAGGCTAGACGGTCATATAATCAAACTGCTAATGGCGCGATGGAAACTGGAACTCTTCGTTGACTGTGGAAGATAAGCGTTTATATGAATGTGACGAGTGCTGTGATATTGGTTCCTAACACTCATCAGAACGAGAGTGAAAACATTTAGCTGATTCTTTACGATCTAGCTGACATAGTCTCATAAAATCATTTAAGTATGTATAACAGGTTTGCACACATATACAGATATTACTCCCAAACACACAAAGATACACACACGCATACACATATGCAAAGTCACACACACACACACACACACACACACACACACACACACACACGCGTACATATATATGCCATCCTAAAAAGGCAATTATAAAAGTATAGCTACCTGTGCATACAAGGTAGTGTCTTTGGATCCATTAGTAAATCCAAACAAATGCTGCAGGTCAAAAGCTCTCTTTCCATCGTCCCCTGATTAGCCATCGTATAAATATTTCACAACCTTAGATTACTCAGCCTTTAAGAAATAATAAAAAAAAAAAAAAACCATGAATTGATCTGAACTGTCTGCACCTTTGAAAAAAGAAAATGCAACTGAAAACCATTCAAAAATAAAAGTGAAGGCAATCTCGAAAAAAAAAAAAAAATGTTAAAGACATCGTATGTGCACACATCTAAATTTGCAATGTGACAATCGTTTTCTGACTGATAGTGTCACCCATTTACAAGTGTCTTACAATTCCAGAACTAATTTTTGTCTTTATTCCGGCTGCTGGATGTAATTCTTCTTCTTCTGCCTTTCTATCCCCCAATGGAGCATAGGCCCTCAACCAACTCACGCCAAGTCGTTCTATCCTTCGCCATTGCATGGAGCTCTCCCCATGTCCTCCCATCTTTCTAACCTCGTTCTCCAGCTCTCTTCTCCATATGTTTTTTGGTCTTCCTTTATTCCTATGCCCCTGTGGGTTCCAATGCAAAGACATTCTAGTTATGCTGTTCTCCTGTTTTCTCAGTGTGTTACTTATCCAACGCCAGAGTCTTCTCCTCACCTCCTGATCCACTGGAGCCTGTTTAGTTCTCTCCCAAAGTTCTACATTAGTTATTCTATCATACCATTTTATTCCCTCTTGTCTGCGCAGGCACCAGTTAATGAATGTCTGTAATTTATTAGTAATTGCCTTGGTTGTTCTCCATGTTTCCGCCCCATACAAAAGTACTGATTTGACATTAGAATTAAAAATTTTTAGTTCAGTATTTCTTTTAATTTCCTTTGATCACCACAAATTTCCTAGTGCTATCAAAGCCCCTCTTGCCTTTTGTATTCTAATTTTAATATCTCTATCAGTTCCTCCATCTTTATCTACATTACTGCCTAAGTAGGTGTACGACTCCACGTCTTGGAGTGGGGTGCCATTTAGAGAAACCACATTACTATTTGCCTGATTTATTCTCATTATCTTTGTCTTTCCTTTATGTATTTTCAGACCAAGCTGCTGTGATCTCGCATTAAGTATATTTAATTTATCTTTCATCTGATTCCGTGAATGGGATAGAAGAGCAATATCATCAGCGAAGTCCAGATCATCAAGCTGTTCTGTAGGGGTCCACTGAATTCCATTCTTAGTGTTAGCAGTTACTGTTTTCATAGTCCAGTCTATAGCCAGTAAAAATAAGAGAGGCGACAAAAGACATCCCTGTCGCACACCTGTTTTTATTTCAAATGCATCTGTTAGCTTTCCCTCATGAAGAACTCGACATTTCATGTCTTATATGTTGCCTTTACTAAGTTGATAATTTTCTGTGGGATTCCATAGTGCCCCATCAATTTCCAGAGAGATTCACTATCAATGCTGTCAAATGCTTTTTCATAGTCTATCAATCCAATGTAAAGTGGTGAGTTCAGTTCTATTATAATACGTAATGTGGCTATAAATATTGACATCTTAAAAGATCTGAACATCAAGGAAGATTGGCTAATAAACAGCATCCTTTCTCGGAAGCTGAAATATTTTGGTCATATCAAGCGCCACAACGGATTGGAAAAAAGGCATGGTACAAAGAAGGAGGGGCAGGGGCCGACCGACACGAAGATGTGCACAGGATATAAGTGACTCCTTGAGTATGAAAGTATATGAGGCAGGAGAGCTGGCGAGAGACCGAGTTTCTTTCAGGCAGACTGTGATGAGAGCGACGTTCTGCAAAGGACCTGCTACATGATGATGATGAATGTGGCTATCTGATCAGTACATGATCTGTTTGACCGAAAACCTGCCTGCTCATCGCTTAGCATTTTTTCAATAGCATCTTTTAATCTTTCCAAAAAAATTATACTTAATATTTTCCCAAGAACTGACAGCAACATAATTCCTCTATAGTTTTCACACTTCTGTAGATCACCTTTTTTGGGCAGTTTCACAAGATATCCTTCTCTCCAGTCTGCTGGTATTTCTTCGGTCTCCCAGACTTTACTGAATAATCTATGTAGCAATTCTGTTGATGTGTTTATGTTGGCCCTGATGGCTTCAGCTGGGATACCATCTGGGCCTGTCGCCTTTTCTTCCTTGAGAAGATTTATAGCTTTTCTAATTTCCTCTTTAGATGGTATCTCACAGTTGATATCCAGTTCCATTTCTAAAGGCTGGATATCTGGGGGAACCTCTGGGCCTGGTCTATTTAGAAGCATTTTAAAATATTCAACACATCTGTCCATTTGATCTTTAGTGTTAGTAAGTACCTTTCCTTGACTATTTTTGCTTGATCCAGTTGGCTGACTATATCTACCTACTAATCTTCTTGTGTTACTGTAAAGTTCTTAGAGGTTTCCTTTTGCTGCTGCTGTCTCCGCTTCTTGTGCAAGATCATTTAGATATTTCACTTTATCTGCCCTTATATGCCTCCTAACTTCCTTGTTTGCTTCTGTGTATTTCTCCTGAGCTTTAGCTTTAGCAGCTCTAGTTTTGCTATTGTTTAATTCTGCCTTTTTACTTTTCCTATCTTCAATCAGTTTAGTGGTTTCTGGTGTTATCCATGCTTTATGTTTCCTTTCTTTCTTACCAAGAACTTCAATGCAAGATTCATTCCAGATTCCTTTGATCTGATCCCAGCAGACTTCTATGTTGACATCTTCAGCTAACTGCTGCAACACCTGGTACTTATTAGAGACCGTAACTGAGAACTGCTCCTTAATTTCTTTATCTCTGAGAAAGCCTACATTATATTGGTTTCTATTATTATAAGATGTTATATATCTTTTTAGTTTCAAATTGATTTTACTTACTCACAAGGAGAGACAGAGTTCGAAACGAGAACATTAGATCAATTGTAGGAACCACACCATGCCTGCAATACATAAAGAAGCAACAACTAGAGTGGTTTGGCCACTTGATGCGAATGCAAACTGACCAACTGCCTCTACGAGCATACAACGAACAGCACTACTGACCTAGAGCAAGAGCAGACCGAGAGTACGATGGATAGACAATATATCAAAGATCCTGAGGCAACACGGACTAACAACAACACGTGCAACACACCTGGTCCAGGATAGAAAACTGCGACTCCCCACTACGCTGTGAGGCAATTGTGGACAAGACAAGACAAGACCACCAGGAAATGGTCAGTAAATACATCAGCACCTCTGAAAGCCCTAACATTGTAAAGGAAATGATCTAAACTTTTTGTTAATACATATGTGGTCAATTTGATTAGTTGTCTTATGGTCTGGTGATTCCCATGTTGCCTTGTGTATTCTTTTATGGGGAAAAATACTTCCACCAATAACATACTGGTTATCTGCACAAAAATTTTGAACATTTCTCCTTTTTCATTCATTCCTCCTAGGCCATGTCTCCCCATAATTTCTTCATAACCTGTGTTGTCTGATCCTATCTTAACATTCAAGTCACCCATCACAATTTTTAAGTTGCCCTTTCTTTCATTATTTATAATATTTTGAAGCTGCATATAAAATTCTTCCTTAACAGATGCCTCTTTATCATTTGTTGATGCATAACACTGTATTACCGACATGTTCACCTTCTGTTTTACTGTTCTAAAAGATGCTCTTATAATTCTGGGACTCACAGCTTTCCATTCTATTAGTGCCCTGTCTGCTTCTTTTGATAGCATCAGGGCCACTCCTTCACTGTGGGGCGAATTTTCCTCTGTGTGTCCTGAGAACAAAATAATTTCTCCTGAATTTAGAATACTTTTCCCTGCCCCAGTCCATCTAGTTTCACATAACCCTTAAATACTAATTCTATAATGTTTCATTTCCCTTGCTACTTCCATTGTTCTCCCTATGTCATAGAGAGTTCTAACATTCCAGGTGCCAATTCTGGAGGTTTTCCTAGCTGAGAGGAGGTACGTCAACGATCAGGACTCCTTACGGCTTTCTCCACACCGTGTCATACTTCTTCCATTTGAAGAGCCTTCCCTCATCTTGGTTGGCTGGATTTTATTTGCTTCTCTTTTTGACGTATCCATGGTTGGTTGGTTTTTGTGGCTATGGTTTTTACAGGATGAGGTAGCCAACCTCAAACCCAACCCTACCCTTAATCGCCTCTTACGACATGCCTGGTAGGGTGCAGTGTCACTATTCTTTGCTTCCTGTGAGGGCCCCGGTGACACACGGGCGGCTGGATGTAATTATTCACCATGAATTGTAACGAACAGCAAACCAGAATAGAGCTAGGCGAACTTAAATCTTAGGACATAGTAATGCATGATAGAGCTAGGCGCACTTAAATCTTATTACATTGTAATGCAAGATAGAGCTAGATGCACTTAAATCTCATGACATGGTGAAGTAAGCAATAACATCCTCAACTCACTCTTCAGTCGGGGCACACTGCGCACTGTACCCTGTCATCTCGTCGACACATAAGCCTCAGATCACATCGAACCATTCAGCCTATTAGGTTCCCCATAAGGATCCCCTCTTCAGTACATCATTCATGATGTAATGGCTGACCACGTCAATCATGTGTATGTTTATTATTGTATTTTGGCTTTCTATATAGTGTTTTTGTCTGGCTACATTCCTTTTAATTTGCTCGTCCGCCATTCTTATCATGGTTGAAGATTCACACTCATTACTCAGTTCTAGCAACTCGTCCTACTGGGGATAACACTGGGAGATACTAGAGGAGTCGGATAACTGCAGCCGTAGAAGCCTAAATTAGGGCACTGATTGATTAGCATTCTTGCCCATTTACACAAATGGGTCTGTTAAGCGCGGATCAAGATCGGCATAAGCATACACAGCAGAAACGATGGGGGGCAACAATAAAAGAGGATATCCGTGCTTACCAGACAACTACGTCAAGCATTACCATGGAGATAACTGCTGCTTCCAGTGTACTCGCTTGGGTAGCAGAACAAGAGATTACACAAGTGCGGAAATAGTTTCAAACTATGCACAGGCTTCAGAAAATCGCTCCGAATGGATAGAAAACTTTCGAAAGTCGCAGTTAACCTTAATC